GCCGAGTCTGTGCTGCCCACACGTGCCAACTTTGAATGACAAATTTTGGTTGTGCCAGCCACCTTTCAAATGTTCAACAGCCATGGTGTATCCAATGGCGATCATAATAGACAATGCAGATTTACAAGGTGAATCCCACTGCCCCAGAAGTTCTAGTGCATGACATTTATGCTGTTCCCTCTCTCCAAATAAACTGGCCCAGGAGCCATTCTTTGTAAGCATTTTTGTTTAGGGGCAAACACTGACATTTTTAAATGAGCAGTCTGAGGTCTGGGTTTAGGGGATGGAGGGTGGAAGAGTCCCCTCACCCCCAAGAGCAGCCATTGCTTTCTAATGGCTAACTGATGCTGGTCCCTCCCCTTCAGGCCAGCGGCAGCCCCCACGCTGAAATAAGAGCGCTCAGAGGATCAAGCCATCAAAGTTCATTTTGTTTTTTCAAATGCTTCATTCCTGGCCCAAGAGCCAGGCTGAATACAGAATAAAGACAGGACAGTCTCCAGTAGAGCTTTAAAATGAGCATAGGGGTTGGGGTCAGGTGAGGAGGGACTTCTGCCAAGGGGACGTGGTTAGCATTGATCTAAGAGCAGCACCAACCCAGACCACCAGGCATAGAACCACCAAGTATGTGATGTAGAAATGAGTCCCTGTCCCAAATGAGCTTATTACTAAGGAGGAACAAGCCAGCACCCAGTTGGAATCTCAATGAGCAATGGAAAAGGTCTCCCTTGGGAGGCCGACCTGAAGCTAGTTCCTGGTCAGAAGGGGTGTGAACAACTGCTGGGTGGGAAGATAGCCCACCCCAGTCAGCTTGGTTCCTCTGGGTCTGTGCAAGCAGCCTATACGGGGACAGGTAACCTGAGAGAGGCCCTGGCTAGCAGGGAGCCACCAGTCTCCGCTTCCGGATACATGCCCAAACCCACTCTTCGGAGACCTGTTGGGCTGCAGGGTGCTTGTCCCCGCCGCCCAGGACATGTGTGGCTGAGGTCAGCTCATATTCCTGCACCAGGTCTCCGTTGAATGCCACAAAGTAGCGTTTGAGGTGGCTGAAGTTGGGTGTGGAGGGGGGCAGGTAGAGCCGAACCCCAGTGAAGATGTCGAGCAGCACCTGCAGGGGCAGATGGTCCAGTGGGGTCAGGAGGGCGGGAGACCCTGCCACCTGATGCAGACAGCCACTCCCCTGTATCCCTCCCTGGGGCTCTCTGGAGATGGGATAAACACCCTCAGAGCCACCTGGGCCAATGCCCAGCCTCAAGCACTAGCCTAGAGCTCATGGGATGGGGGCTGAGAGTTGGGTTGTGGGCGGGCAGGACCACATTGTTGTGATGTCTATATCCTTTGGGCTCCTCCAAGATCAGGCTTGGGGAGGTAGTCACCCATGGGCCAAGTCGAGGGCTGAGGGCAAGCGCCAGGGGAAAGGGGTCCCGGCCAGAAGACAGTTGCCAGGCTGTGCCCTGTCCTTGTAAGAGGGGTCTGCTCCCCGCCACAAACACACACTGCGTACTCTCACACCCAGCTGGGCTTCCGCCCTTTTAATGCCACTGGGGCTGGGAGCTGGGCAGATGCAGGGCAGGCTGTCTTATCTCCTGCCTGCAGGCACAGCTCTCCTTTGCTGCGGGCTGGCCAGCTGCCTCTGCAAAGCAAGCAGAGGGCAGAGGGTGAAGCAGCCCCAGGAAGCCATGGGCTCAGCTGATGGCCCAGAGAACCCCTGCTCATCTTTCCAAATCCCTGGACAGGGGCTGGGGGTGCAAGGCCGGGGCCAGGTGGCCTTTGTCGCCCTCACCTTGGTTTGGTAGGGGGTCTCATCTGGGGCCTTGCGCTTCTCCCCCACCTTCACTGGGAGAGGCTTGGTGACCACTTTCGCACGGGAAGGCTCTCCAGCCAACCTGTTGCCTGTGGAGAGAGACCAAGATGGCTGTAGTGAGGAAGGGCCAGGCACTTCTGCTGAAGGGGGAGGGGAGGGATGGGTAGCACTGAACCCTGAGTTCAAAAGGGTTTCCTCCCAGGTCAGGCCTCAGGGTCTACCCTTCAGGTCACTGAGCAGACAGCACACCATGCAGGCCATGCCAGGTCAGTGGGCAGTCGCATGGCCCCAGGGGCTGGCGGTGGGGCTGCTGCTACCACCCTTGCCTCCCTCAGCCCTGCTCTCACCACCTCTGCTGCCCGGGCTACTCCTCTTCCCTCCTGTGACCTTCTTGGCACTGGCAGAGGGCTTGCTGGGGGCCTTGCGGGCCACAGCGGGCACCGAGCTGCCCTCGTTCTCCCCACTGCTGCCCCCTGTGGTGGAGCCCCCCTCTTCGGCAGCCACCACAGTGAAGTCGGCCCTCTCCTTGGACAGTTGGTACAGTTCCTGAGGAGGCAAGGAGAACACAGGGCTAGTGGGAACCAACATGCCACGGCCCGACAAGGAGACTGAGCAGCGAAGCAGCAGGAACTGGATCCAGCTTGCTCAGTGCTGCCCCAAGCGGCTCTGTATCCTGGGCAATCGGTGCAAAGCTTCCTTTCAGGAAGTGGGACTTCCTGGGAAGGAAGCTTCAGGAGTGAGAGGAGTGTGCTTTCCGGGGCTGGGCTGCTTGGTGGGCCCTCCTTGCCCTGCCTCAGCGGGATGGAGAAGTGGGGCAGTGGGTTACCTTGAGCTGGGGCAGGTTTGTGGCAGATTCCCAGTCCTTATCATCGCGGATGCGCGTGCAGCGAGGGAAGCGGATGGAGATGCCATCGGCGGTGTGCGCCTCAGACTTGGAGAACTCGGCCCCAGTGATCTCCCACACGGCAGCTTTCTGTTGGGCAAGCCGGCAGGTCAAGTCCCTGGCTGAAAAGACCTCCCAACCCCAGCCAGGAGCCCCAGGGAAAGTCAAGACAAGCCACTCAAAAGCCCTCTGGGGAGGGGTGCGTGGCGGGCCGGTCTTCTAGCACAGACCCGGTGTGGTTACTGCAGTGACATGGGTTACCCACTGCCCCCACCCCCGGCCAGTGTGTGGCAGAACAATCCCAAATCTGGAATCCCAGTCTGGGCTGAGGTGGCTTCTCTGTGGTTACTTTTATGGACTGGCCAAGAGACAGACCTCAGTCACAGCTGATACCTTGGGGTCGGGGACGATAAAGTCAGGATAATAGATCTTGTTGACTTTCAGCCAGCTGGGGATCTTGCTGGGGTCCTAGAAGATAAAAGATGCAGTCCGGCTGTGTCCCCCTGGAGCATGGCTGCACTCACCTTTCTTGGAGACAGGCTGTGAGAACCGTGGGAAGCTATGGCCCTCCCCCCAAGTGCTGCTCCCTGCCCCCAGTGGGCATGCCACCTGCACGAGGTAGGCGTTCCCAGACTCTCGGGTGTTGAGTTTGCTCCCGGGCAGAGGGACAGCTCTGGGGGAGACAAGGCCATCTGTGGGCGGACTCAGCAGTGATGGCCAGCCCCGTAGCCGGGCCCTCACCTTGCTGATCTTGACCATGTCCAGCTCCTTCTGCAGGCGTGCCAGCGTGGCGTCATCATGGCCACCAGCACACTTGGTGACGGTGCACCACTTCTGGCTGTTAGGGTCGTAGCAGCCCATGAGGAAGATGGACATCATGCCGCCTGGGGGTGGGGAACATGGGCCACATGTTGGGCCCAGAGCCAGCTCCACCAGGCTACGTGCCTGGGGCCTGAGCCCGGCATCAGTCAGAGCTCTTTAGCTGTGCAATTCAGCTGCACCCTCCTGAGCCGTGTGTGCCCAACCTGCAGGCCCCAGGGCAGGAGGAGCGGGATTGAGCCGCATGGTTCCCCAGGGTCAGGCCCCCCTCTACTCAGCGTGTCGTCCTGCCACGCTGGCCCGAGGGTCTCCCTTGGCCTCTCCCTCACTCTGTTGCCCGTGATGAGGTGACACTGGCCAGGCTGGGGTGTGTCCTAGAAGCAGGATGCAGCAGGTGCTGCTGATGGAAGCCCACCCAGTTGATTCCCAGGACCAGCTATGACTGGCTGTGCTGGTGGGTCAAGCCAGTAGAAGAGCAGCCAGGCCTCTAAGCAGAGGTTTCCCAAGAAGGGATGCCCCAGGGCAGGGGCCACCTAACCTTTGCTCCCTTGCCCATAGAAGGCCCCAAGGACGACCAGGTCAGCTGTGTCGGCCATGGCCCCCTCATTCAAATAGTCCTTCTTCACTTTCAGCCAGTGCCGCTTCCCAGGCTCGTATGTACCCTGAGGGCAAACGCAAGACCCAGAGCTGCAATGGAGGCCACACCTGTTAGGTGCCCCGCCCATTCCAGAAGATCCCTCAGGTGTCAGGCACTGCAGGACACAGGCAAAAGCCCCTCCCTCAGATCTAGGGCAGACATGCCCAAAGACCTGCCCGCCCTCCCCTGGACATGGCTGGAGACTGGGCTTTCTGACAGCCAAGGGCGGGGCCATACCTTCACGTCCTTCAGCACCAGCCCTTCCAGGCCCTCCCGGATCACACGGTTTATCATGTCCACCAAATCTGACGCTTTCTGAGAGACAATGAAGGGGAAGGGGGAGGGGGAGGTGAAAGGGCAAAGAGGCGTAGCAGTGAGGGAGAGGTCCCCGTCCACATGCGCAGTTCCCACTGTGGACATCTGAACTTGAAAACAAGGGGCGCAGGGCACCCCGGCCAGGGAGCTGGGTGGCTTAGGGCCTTGAGAAGACCTAAGATGTCTACCTATCTGGTCTCGTGTGGAAACCCATAGACCAGTCACAGAATCGCCCCAGGACCCAGCATCCACAGGCCCCCTGAGAGGGAGCAGGACTCCGACCTGCTGGCTCACCGTGACATGCTTCATTTCGGAGAACATGATGCGGTTGGGGATTTCAACCATGTTGTCGTGCAGAAACTTCCGCCGCTCACACAGAGGCCTAGCAGGGACCAGAGGGTCGGGGTCAAGGCCGGATCCCCCCTCCCCAGTTCTCAGGAGGGAGGGCACATTACACATCTGCTGCTTCCCAAGGGATCTCGGGGATGGAAGCACCCGGATAAGGGCTCTGCCTGCCTTTGCCTCCCGTTTCTTCCGCAGTCCCCAGAGCCAAGGGAGAACTGGCCTTCACCCAAGCTGACCCTATCGACCCTGGGCCCACAGGCAAATGACTGGCTCACTTCCCCCCCTTGCACCAAGCTGTTCCCACCCAGACTAAGCGAGCCTCGAATCGGTAGGCAGACTGTCAGCAGCCCCTCGGAGGTGATGTCATAACCGCTCCCTCCCTCCGCACACAGGGTGTTGGCAGTCTGAGCTGGAATACACCCTGTGGGTGCTGCTGGAGAAGGCACCCTCAGAGCCCCGGCGCCCGCAGCAGAGGGTCTTCTATGGACCATGGGTCCCTCTGTGAGGCTAGCAATGCAGAGGTGGGCACAGCGATCATCTCACTTAGGGAGGGGGTGGCGGCGGGTCGGGCTGGCCTGGGCAGCAGGGTGCTTGCTCTCTCAGCCACGCCCCCCACCCCCACCCTGCCGCAAGAAATGAAGATTCCTACAGGTCTCACCTGTCCATCAAGCTGACATCATTGAAGTAAACACAGTCGAAAACAAACAGGCACACGTTAGCGTCTTGGAAGGCAGCTTTCTGTGAGGGAAAAAAACAAGGCTATAAGCAGATGGGGCAGCGGCAAGCGGGCCGAGGACAAAGGGAAGCGCCGTCTGCCCTGCTGGGCCCTGGCAGCACCACGTGGAAAAGCCCCTGCAGGTTCTGGGACAGCCCTGGGGCTCCGGGCTCGCAGCAGGTGTGGCTGCGAGGAACCCACCCAATCAGAAGTTGTTCCCAGTGCCAGCTCCTTGGTGGCAAGAAAGAGCTCACCTCAGCGGAGGGCAGCATCCAGAAACAGCTCTGTGGGGAGAACCCACCCTCCCAGAGAAGGGGGGGCACCCTGACAGCTCACAGGCATGGGTGCCACACGCTGGGCCCGAGCCAGTACCTTGTGCACGCCCAGAGTCCCAAAGGGCAGTGGTTTGCCTGTCTTGTTGTCTATCAGGAGCACCTCTGAGTCCAGGATCATGCTGTGGCCACCAGGGAAAGCCTGCGGGATGTAGTCCTTGAAGTGGGCCACCTGGGGGCAGAAGTGTCCCTTAGCTGAGGACAGGATGCTGGGTGGGTGCAGGAAACCTGGCAAGGCCCAGGAGAACAAGGCAGGCTGGCCCGAGTGCAGGCAGACGGGCCTGCTAAGGAAGGTGGGTGGCTCTCAGAGAGGAAGAAATGGGTCTCTGGAGTAGGCGTGGTGAGCGAGCAGGGCCTTGTCTGAGTGGGTACTCCAAAAGAGTAACACGGGGTGGGGGTTGCCTCTCCCCTGATAAAGGCAGAGTCCACGTCCTTGACAGAAAGGGCCCACTGTCCCCCAGGCAGCTCTGCCAGCTGAAACCGGCAAAGAGGGCAGACAGCATGCCTGGGTCCAGTTCCTCCCCCGACAGGGTACACAGGCCCCACGACCTAGGATGCTTGACGCAGGAGCAGAAGGGTCCTGCACACACACACCACTCGCCTTCCAGCCCAAGCCCGGGCCTTTGAGAGAAGAGCCAAAGCACTGGAGAGGCAGGGAGGCGAGCGGGTTTGGAAGAGAGACGGCAGACCTTTCTGCTGGCAGAGCAGGAGGCGCCCACTGATACCAGCCTCTGGAGCATGTGCCCACAGAATAGCGCGCCTGAGCCTCCACTCTGGGGACGGTACAGACGAGCTGGCCCAACTCTGCTCACTGATGCCCACAACATGGCCAACTGCCCTGGCCCAGGCCTCCAGCACCAGGGCAAGGGCAGCTCTCTAACCCGGGAGCTGAGAGGGCAAAGGTGCCTGAGGCCAGGCCGCTGTCCCTGGTTTTCACAGTGATACCTAAGGCCCTAGAACATGCCCAGCAGGCTACATGCTTGACAGACGCCTGCTCAAAACACCAGCCCCTCAGGCCCTGTGCACACACTGGACACACAGATGCCCTCGAGCTCAGGGCCCCAAGTTCCCATGGAAGCCACTGTCCGGCTCTGTCCTGACTAGCCCAGTTTTGGCTTAGCTAGTCCCTGCCGAGTCACCCTCGGTAGAAGACTCCAGGAATGACGAAGTGAGCCTTCTGTGGAGCTGAGCTGCAGCAGCGCTAGATTAGTGCAGGCGCGCAGGCAGCGGGAGGGGCTGATACCTTGTGAGGTAGGACGGGCTTGAGGCTGCGGCTGAAGTAGCTGAAGTGGTCCCCGCTCTTGTGCACCTGCACACGCTCCCCGTCGTACTTGATCTCGGAGAACATACCGTTGGGACACTTCTTCATGGCATACTCTATGGACTTGCAGGCCTCGGCCTAGGGGCGGAAAGCGCAGCCTGGAGGCTTGAGGGTGCTTGTCTAGGATGACTGCTGCTCACTGGGAGGGCCGGGCCAGTCTGGACAGAGAACAGGTCCTGGGGACCGCTGTCTCACCCTCGGGCTCAGGGAGTCCCCTGGAGAGGGGCTGGGAATGGACAAGGAGCTTGCGTTTTGAGGACAAGGAAGGCGTTCTGGTTGAGAACATAAAATGCTAATGGTGAGGCATGTCACTTTTCCCTCAGTATACTAGGAACTTGCAGGGCCTCAGGGTAATTCAACACACCCACGTGTTACTGTAGCTCAGGAGGTATGCAGAGCTAAGCGTAAGGAATACAGGTGACAGCATGGCTGGTGGGACAACAGCCAAGGATTCCTCAGACGACATCCCGAATGCCACCCTGGGTCAGACCATCTGCGTGATCTTACTTCACCCTATGGCGGACAGGGACTTTATTTTACGGATGGACACTCAGAGAGACTGCTCTTCTCAATAGTCACAGCATTAGTCAATGGCAGGAGTGAGGGCTGGGTCTAGGCTGGACTCCAAAGCCTTAATTACAAAGGCTAACCTCTAGGCAGTACCAGAGGGCTTCCAAAAGTTTCTGGGGAAATCCCAGTAGCTTTCAATTCAATTTTCCCAGGAAGTTTGGGAAGCCCTCATGTAATCCGTGCCAGAAAGACTCCTGTGGCTGCTAGGAGCGAGAGCCCTTGCCCGATGCGAACACAGCGCAACACCATCGGGGCTGCACTTTGCAGCAGCCGGTGCGCCTATGGGAAAGTCCTGAGCGCCTCACGAGGAGGCCTGGCGGGGCACGTCAAAGGTCCGGGAAAAGGCAACTCCCTTTCTCGTCAATTAAGCAGAGAACCAAGATGGCCAGTCAGACCCCAGAAGGGAGGGGTCGGAGTCATCCTGGCTCTGCTGGGGTACCGCTGCTCAGGGCCACTGGGGCTACTCTGAGTTCCTTGGTGGCAGCCCCTGAGCAGGATGACAGCGCAGCCAGTGAGGGCGGCGGGTGCTGAGAAGCTCTGATGCACACACAGGAAGCCAAGGACCAGCAGAGGTGAAGTCAGCCACCCAGGGCTATACAGCTCGGTGGCGGCAGAGCTGGGACCGGGTCTTTCCCTCCATCTCAGTCCCCGCCCTCCCGCCCCCGAGGAGTGGCCCTCTGCACAGATCGGTGCTCACCAGCATGGGCTGCACGGGGGTCATGAGTGAGGCCTGGATGCTCAGCGCCCGCCGGCGGCCGGGGTCCTGCTCCACCTCCTGCTCGTTGCGCAGGACCCGCTCCACCACGTCCTGCAGGTTTCGCGAGGCCTTGAAGGCATCATAGGCATTAGGGTCCAGGGCATCTAGCCTGTCAAGAGAGAGGGAGGGCTACGGAGACAGCAACCACTGCCTCGGCTCCGACTGCTACTGCCTCACGGGGAGCCGGGCTCCCGCGAGATGGGCAGTGGCTGTGCCTCCTCGATGCCACTTTGCCATCGAGTGAGCAAGCCACTCGGACCACACAGTCTACTCCCTATTGCGAGCAGCTGTCACACCCCGCCAGGGCCAGCCCCTCAGGGAGGCCAGGAGCTGCTCTGCAGCTCGATGCTGCACAGGGGCAAGTGCAGGCTGAGGAGGCCCAGAGGTGCTGTCAACTCAAGTCCAGATGGGGAACCCAACGTTCTGAGCTCAGCTGGCAACCCAGGAAACCGCCAGCGGAGGCCGCGGGATGAGCTGGTACTTACACGTGTTTTGCACCCGAGTTCATCTTCAGATCGTGTTTGATCAGCCTGATGATGCACTTCAGGTCGTTGGCCGTGCACCTAGGAGAATGAGGCACAGTTGGCTTGGCCTCTGAAGAACCTGGGCCCCCACCTCCCTTCCCAAGCGGCTCCCCTGCCCAGGCCGGCCCCCACCTGGCGGCGATGTCCTGCAGGGCCTGCTGCTGCTCATCCTCCTTGGTGAGCCGAGAGAGTTGCAGGAGGAATGCGTCCACCTCCTGGATGGTGAGGAGGCTCTTGGCAGCTGGGGGGAAAGACTTGCTCTGCTCAAAGAAGACTCTGACCGTCTCTGACACATCACCCTGTCTCCAAAACCAAAATGGGAGGCTGCAGCTCCATGCTGGCCCAGGAGCTCCCCACTGCCCCGGGCTACGGTGAACCAGGGCTTGCCATCGCCACTCCTGAGCCCAGCTCACCACTACTGAGGGAATCTATCCCAGCCACAGCTCCTGGGATCGGCTGGAGCTGAGAGGGGGGAACTAGAAGCAATTGAGGGCAGGGCTGACTGGATTCCTGTTCAAGATTTAAACTCTGAGACAGATATGGGCATCCGATAACAGAGGCTCTTGGATGGGACTTTCCCATGGTGCCGTCTGGAATCAGGGCTGGAGGCTCAGCCCGAGTTACTGGGAGGAGAGCCGGAAAGATGAGACTGGAGAAACGGGCCCAGAAGGGGCAGGGAAGCCCCACACCAGGATGGAGGCCCTGCAAGGCTCAGCAGCAGTGCATGTCAGTCCTCAGACCCTCGTGAGAGGAACACGCCGCCTCCCTGTCCGCTCCCCCTAACAGAAGCTCGTTCTAAGGGGTTCCAGTTTCCTGAAACAGTGTGCGCTCAACAGAAAGCAGAGGCCGCAGGTGGCTGGCTGGAAAGCCGCCTGCTTTTACCTCCCTCCCTCCTCCCCTCCCCTCCCTTCCAGCGGACCTGCTCCAGGTCCCGCGCCATGTCGTCAGCATTGCAGTTGAAAACGCGGCTAAAAAGCTTCACAATCTGCTTGTCGTTCAGGTTGTAAACACTCTTAATGACCCCCGGCAGCAGCAGCTTCACGGTGAGGTACACGTCACCGTGGAAACCATCTGGAGACACATGAAGAACCCTTCCTAAGAAACGGCCCTCAAATAAACCCGAAAACGCCAGGAAGCAGACCCTAGACTGACGGAGCTCTAGGAGGGGCTTCAAAGTTCGAGGGGGATTCCGTGATCTTTAATTCTATTTCCCACACGCATCTTGAAGCCCCACGGCCCCACGGCCTGCCCGTGCCCCGTAGTGCTGCGTCCCCATGGCCTGAGGATGCACAAGCCCGAGCCAGGGAGCGACTACTTGTTGGATGAGTGTAACAGACACTCCAGCTGTGCGGGTGGCTGCAACAGCCTAACCCCACGCATGGGAAAGATGCTCCGGCGCTCTGAGCAGAACTGGCCACGTACATCGCAAGATGGAAAGGAGCCCTGGTGGTGGAGTGGGTTACTCTTTGGGCTGCTAACCACAAGGTCAGCAGTTCGAAACCACCAGCTGCTCTGCAGGAGAAAGAGGAGGCTTTCTACTCCGACAAGATTTACAGTCTCAGAAACCCTCAGGGGCAGTCCTACTCTATCCGACAGGGTCCCGATAAGGCGAGGCCACTGGACGGCAGCGAGAGTTTTGTGCGTGGTGGAAGGCACCCTGGTGGTGCGGTGCATTAAGGAAGGTCTGCGAACGGGAAGGGTAGCCGTGCAGGTGCAGGCCCACAACCGCCACACAGAAGGAAGGGTCTGTTAGGGGTAAGTGTCAACGCGGGGGGGCAGTGGGTGTGGTGCACAATGCAAATGTGGGCCCTCTTGTTCAAAAGGATTGATCATTTCAAGACAGGGACTGCAGAGCATTCACCAGGTCATGGGCCCCAGGGCTGCAAGCTGCCGGCCCACCTCCTGCTGAGCCCACCTCCTGCTGAGCCTTTCCGCAGGAAGTCCTGGATGATCTGGGTCTTTGTATTGTAGCTAGGATTTTCCGCCACCATGGCGCATAGCTTCCGAAACTCCCGCAGCAGACAGTCCTTGTGCTTGGGGTCACATCTACTGGAGGACAGGCTCGTCTGGAGCAGAGGGCTGGAGAGGGCTTCCCCAGAGTTGTTGGGCTTGGCTGTAGGAGAAAGACGGGAGGAGCCGGGTGACTGGTTTTGCCTTCGAGAAAGAACACCAGGCAGAGGGAAGGAAACACGAGGCCGAGGCTCCTCTGGTGCTTCACAGGCGGCACCCAGTCCCAGCCATGGCTACGCTCGCTCTCCACAGGGAACCAGCACCAGCAAGCGCAGGGAGGAAGTGGACGCCTGGTTCCCAGCCGCACAGCACTGCCGGTCTGGGTTGACCCCAGGCACTCTTCAAGGGAGCGTCTCAGAGCAACTTGCTGTCCTCAGGCCCCAGGAAGCGGATCCCAGCCACGCGGGGAAGGGGAAGAGAGGAGAAATCACGGCCACGCCAGACAACAGACCCCCTGCCCTGCAGACGGGCCTGGCGGGAAGAAGACCGGGCGATGACAGTTCAGAGGCTCACTTCTGAACAAAGGTCGGACTGCCAGGATCCTCTGCGCCTGGGGCAGCGCCCAGGGCTATGTCTGTCCTCCAGGCATTTTCTCATCAAGGCAACCCGCCAGCAAGCCCGGCTCTTTTCTAGACACCCACAAACAAGCACGTCCAACTCTTTAGGGAGACTCTCTCACTTCTCTGCGCCGGCTGCACTGCAGGCATGGGGGCACGGTGGGGCATTAGAGCAAGCTGGCTGCGCCGCTCACTGCTGCCTGCCTGGCCTCTGTAAATTATATAGCCCTCATCACTGGCCTGGAGACTAAGTAGGATTTGGGGTACCAAACCCCCAAGACAATGTGTTCAATCAGACTGCATAGTAACTAGAACATAGCGGTTCTCTCAACTCCTGAACTCGATCCTGAGCCAGGGACCCTTCCAGAAGCTGGATGTCCTACCACACCCTGGACTGCAGTGTTTCTGTCTCAGACCTACCATTAATCAAAAACAAAAAGCCCCCGACTTGTCAACAGTTTAGGAATAACCCACAACGTTGGGCCAACTCCCTGGGTTTCCAAGTCAAACAAAACCCCGCCCAGTCAGGTACCATTTTGGCCAGGTCATCGTTAGCCTCAAGCAAACTCTGCAGGAGGCGTGGTGGGGGTTGGCACTACAGCTCCACAGGCTGTGCCCAGAGGCTCAGAGAAGTGAGGCGACCTGCTCGGGGTTAGCAGTAGTCAGGAGACTGAGCTGGGACCCGACGCGAGCCCTCTGACCTGGGTGAGGCTCTCTCAACCACCTAGACCTGTCTCTCACAGCAACCTCAGAGCCCACGGCCTTCTTAACTGTCTTTGTCTGCATCAGTCACAGGACTGTCACCCACCAGGGCAGGACAACAGGGCGTAAGGCAAACACACGGGTGGTGGAGTTAAACAGGCCAACAGCCACTCCACAGTGGCCTGGACTTCAGTGGCCTTGCTCAGAGTGGGCCAAGGCAAACCACGTCCCAAGGTGAACTGCAGATGGACCAGCCCTCTACTCCATACTGTCAACTGCGACGCCAGGCTGACCAACAATCTGGTCTTTCCAATTCCTCAGTAGACCAAATGCCCTAGCTAAGTTTTCCCGAGTCCCGAGTATATAGACAGCAATTCTAAATTTTCCGTGAAAGAAACCACATGTGTATATGTGTACATGCATGTATAGGTGAGGGTATAACCGTTAGGTTTTTGTGCCATGGCACCTGTAAGGGTGGGGTTTCGCTTGTAATTGGTTGCGGTTTAATGACTTCTTTTGGAGGTGCGACCAATATAAATGGCTCTCTGAGGCCAGGCCTCCTCTCTCCCCCTGGTGTCCTGGTGGGTGGACCAGCACGATGCCTGATCTAGCTGCCCTGTCTCATCACGTGCTGTGCAGTGCTCTGCTCCACCTGGCAGAGCCACCTCATGGACCACGTGCCACCATGCTGTGGGCTGATTCTGCTTGGCCTGGTCTCCATGCCATACACCGCCGCTCCAGCCTGCCATTCTCAGCACTCCACCGCGAGGCTCCACTGCAACCTGCTTCGCCAGGCTGCGCTGCTGGTGTCTGCGACCCTCGCCACCTCATCTCCCCACTGTCAGCTTCCTGGGCTAGTGGCCGCCTGAGGGCGAAGGACCTTCAGTGTATTAACGGACTCACAAAAGTGAGCTATCCGAGCTCTCGGCACTGCAGTGTGGATAATTTGCTGTTCTGTTCCTTTCTGCTATGAAAACATATGTATATTATATATTTTTTATATATATACATAAAATCATACGTGTTCTGGTCTTACTGCTCTAGAGAACCCTGCCTAATACAGGGGGGCTTCAAACAGTTTGAAGAAAAACGGGAATAAAAGGTTGGGGGATTTGCCCAGACTTCTGAAGCCCTCGGGTGCAGATCACAGGTGAAGAGACAGGAAAGGAGCTGCCTCCTGCCGAGAAGTTACCAGTTACATCCACGATGGCCCTCTCTGCGCCCAGCCGGAATCCTCCGCTTCCAGCTGAACCGCAGCTTCCTCAGAAAAGTGCACCTCACTTTCCAGAGGGTACCAAGGCCCCTTCAGCACTCTCCTGCACTGTTTATACTGCACCCTTGAGTCTGTACCACGTTGGATTTAAAAGCTTACTGGTGTTTTCTAGAAACGACTCCCAGGAGACTCCTATGAGAGGGCCAGCACTGCGTCTTGGACATCCTTGCATTCCCAGGGTCTGATGTTATGGCGGGCTTGGTATAGACACTCCGAAAAAAGTCCTGGTTAAGTGAATTCTGTGCTGATTTTACTTAAGTCTCCCCCCACGGTCCCGTGAAGATGGTGTTCCATATTTGGGATGGAGAGTACCGTGCCAATTGCTGGAGACAGGATCTGAACCCAGGCTGCGGAATTCCCAAGCCCACACCCCTCATCAGCAGGCTATACATCCCCCAGCAAATAGCAAATACCCTTCAGAGACTTTTTCCCCCTGCTCCACGTTCCCCAAATACACCAAGCCTTTCAACAAACAGCCATGAAACTAAGAAGAGAAATGGGGAAATTCCAGGCCTGACACCAGCTTCTCCCACACTTTCAGCTCACTGCAGACAAGTTGATAGGTGTCCTTTTTCCACATTCTTCCATTATCAAGAAACCAGGAGGTAAAGGGCAGGTTATAACAACCTGTCTGACCAAGTAACTATTTCAAGGGGGGAAAGTCTCGCTAAGCCAGCTTTCCCCGCCAGAGGAGACTGAAGTGTACAAAGAAACAGAGTGCAAGCTGAGCACCGGACGAGAGCTGTTACCTGTCTCTGCTCAGACAGAGGAGCAAATGATGATGGAATGAAAGACGAGCCAGATAGCCGAGAACTCCCGCCCGGAGCTGGGAGGGGATGGCAGTTGAGAGGTCACAAAGGTACAGAGTAGCTACAGCAGCTCTAATCCACCTCACCTGAAAAGCCAGAGAATTTCCGGGGATTGGTATTGGTCACAGAGGCGCCTTTCGTTGGAGATGTCACCTGGCCAGTGGTTGTCAGCTTCGCCTGGACAACAGCCTTCTTCTTTGGTGTGCCCGCTGCCTTAGAAGACAGATCTGTGGGGTCCCAAGAGAAAAAGCTTTCCGTGAATGACCCCCGAGCAAACCTCCAGCAAGTCTAATCAACCCACCGAATTTAGACTTGTGCTTGGAGAGGCCAGGGCGGAGGTTGCTGGTGATAAGAGTATTGAGGCAGGAGAGGGACTTGTTCCGGGGACAGAAGGCCCAGCTACTGTTTGCTTCTATGAGTGACTAAATTTTTGTCAACATTCTTCACCTTTTAGTCTCCAGAAGAGACTGGGTTTAGAGGGAATCAGAAATCACTTCTCGACAAACACACTTTGCTGGAATCAGATCCAGTGTGCGGATGAACAAGAAAGCACAATGACGACGACCCCTGAAAACGCGGCTTCCGCAGAGGCCGGACAGCTTAGCTAAGCCATGGGGCAGCTCCCCTGCCTTGTACATCTCTTCCTCTGCAAGCGCCTTGGGTCAAGAAGTAACAAGGGCTGGAGCCACTGGCAAAAACTGATCAGGGCTGAGGAGGAGGGGGCTTGGTGCAAGCCCCGGCTGGAGAATGGAGTTGATGGGAAGGAGGATTTTCTTTCAATCCTGTTAGTCGTTTTTTCCACTCAAAGCACCAGGGTAGCTTTTTTATAGCCACGTTTAAAGAGTCCTCTTACGGTGATCAGAATGACATTGAACTGAAAGCATACACATCACTCTGCAGATGGGGACACTGAAATCACCGAGAATTAACTGGAGTTTAAAGGCACTGGTTAAAAGCTCC